TTTTTTTTTCATCTCAAAAACAGCCTCGAAAAAATTACCAGATCAGGCCTGGTCTGGTCATGACAAGCATCGAAAATCATGACCACATCGAACTTGTTCGTCCAGCTGGCATCCATTTTGGCAGCATTCATTTGGATGAATTCTAAGTTGTCGAAAGCCTGACCGTCGCTCTTCCTGAAATCATCGTGTTTAGAGCTGCAGATCTGTCCTTATTTCTAGTGATCTTACTTCTGCTGCTTGGCCATTTCCACTGCTTCATGTGTGATATCAATTCCGGTAAAGTGAGATTTTGGATAATGAGAGGCTGAAACAATTTTTTGCTCGATTTCAAATGTGGTGATTTTGTGTGCTGACTGACCCATTAAACCAGAGTGGAAACCCTTGCCGCATCCAACATCCAAACACTGGACGCCACCTTTCTCGAGTCTCTCCTGTAATTGAAGATAATAGCTACCTTCATCGTTTTTTGAATAAATTTCAAGCAAGTGTAGTACCAAAAATTTTACACATTATGAGACTATGAGACTGAGGCTAATCTATTCCAAATTATCTTTAGACTGCTATGATGCACAAAGTTTCAAATTTTTAGATCTTAGATCTAATTTCCTAAACCTACAAATTCGCTTATTAGAAGTTCGATTTACTAAACTTACTGCTTACTTAATTGATCAATTTTTGGTCGATTACTTCATTCAAATCTTATTTGAACAACCTTCTACTGTCGGTATAAATAAATCCCCCATGAACTCAAAATTTTCATTCGTCAAATTTTATTGTGACCCTTCTATCTACTTTTCTTTTGATTATATAATCTTTCTTAAAAAATATTCACCTTAAGTCCTGATCCAAGAGCTGGAATAAAACCAGAAATAAGATGTTTTTTGTGCAACACTTCACTCAATGTTGCCATAGCATCATAGAAGTCAGCGAAGTCAGAATATGCAAGCCCTGCAAAAAGCCATCACATCCAAGATTTTTGGCTACCTAGAAACCAACCTACCTAGAGGCCCCTCCTTAGTGAACACGTTTGCCATCTTATCGTACGCTTTCATGAAAATCGGCAAAAAGCAATTGACTTGAATGCTGAACGTCTCGTTGGTCAGGTCCTGGAAGCCAAAAGATTGACCCTAATGAGGCTTCTGCGCAACTTCTGTTCCACTTACCGGTACGTTTTCCTTCTTGATGTAGAATTTCTCATCTTCAGTGACAGTGATGATGTCGTTCACTCCTACAACTGCCAGCCACTCTCTCACATATCTAGAAGTTTTCCAA